ATTCAAGCCTTGAAATTGACGTAGCGCGAGAATTCTGGTCTTCTAGCGACAGACTCGCCGTTTTCAAACTCAACAATGTACATACAGTGCCGATCATATGTTTCTATCACTCGCCCCGTAGGAAGGCTGGCTATATTGTCTTTTCCATTATTTCAGTGGCTTCGGGGCTAGGTTAGTGCCATTGTGCTTGTTTTAATAAATTAAATGGTGTGTAAGCGGCGATAAGCTCTGCGGCTGATTATGCCAAGAACAGAGTGATGCAAAATGCATAAATAGAATTCTATTGTTGTGTGCCTATTAACATAATACTTACAGCATGATCATGTATGCTCCTGATTACAGGACTTATAGTTTATAATAAGGCAAGATTGGGCGATAAAAAAAATACAAGTGCCGATAGCCTATCTTTATCATGACACTGCTGAATAACCTTTAAGGCAATACTGAATGTGGTAATGCTTCTAGGAGGCCTTGTTCAATTACGTCTATATGGATTATTACAGGGGATGTAAAAGCCCGGTGCGTTCATATGTTTTTGATTATTTTGATTATTTAATTAATATTAGGGTAAGGGTTAGTTGGTGGTTAGGGTTGGATCAGTTCTTATAGTAAAATTATCTTCCCGACATTTTTATTAGTGCTTCATGACAGGTTTAGACACTCGTTTCTTGTATTTTCGGCGGTTTCGCTTTTTTCTATGTTTTTGTCTCGTCGGGCTGATCCAGGTTAATCAAAATTTATATTTTGATTTGCTGTTAGTCACTTGAACACATCTTGTTTTAGACGGTACCTTATTACAATGGCATATAACATAAGAACCAAGTTGACCTCGTTTTTTTTTAGAAAAAAAAAACCTCTCCACACATGTAGCTACACATGCAGATGCGATTTTTGGTACAAAAATTTATGAGGGCAGGAAATTAAAGTAACTTTTAACATGTGCGCAAACAAAACTTGTAAATATCTTAAAGCTGTTGAGCAAGTTACCATCCGGTAAGTTGGCCAGGGAGGCCCAAAGTTCAGTCTTACAAGCTGATATAATATAAAATCACAATCGACAAGTTATTGATATCAATAATAACTTGTCAATCCCACCCGGCCAATTCCCATTCCGTATCTGTTCAATAGTATGTGGGTTACCTTTGCCAGGAGGTGCCTACCTTACCTGCCCTGCCTAATAGAGTAATGAAATGTCTTAGTTTAATCACCATTGTGTCCTAATTTAGTAAACCTGCGTATTACCTGTACACACATGCGTACATACTTACAACGCCATCAAGAAGGGCTGATAAAATCAATTATCAGAGAAATATCTGACAAATATATTAATTGCAAGCCGTGTGAATTATTCTACAGAATCATAATCATGATCTAAAAACAATTTGATTATAAGTAATTATGTCCATTTCTGCATATATGAAAGCCCAATATATGCGCAGCTCCTTCGGGACCTTCGGTTCATAAATAAAATAACTGTAACTTTGTTGATCTTATTCTAAACTATAAAGTTATATGTTTTTTTTTTTTTTTTACAATGAGATCAAATAAGTAGAGAATTTGATTTCGCGCATGATATTGTCCTTTTTTTCTCACAGAAAATTTTTTCTCATGCTGATAAGTTTTTTTTATACGAGTTATATCATAAAACGTTACACTGTTATCACGTATTTAGAGTAGATATTGTTATATAAAACTAAACTACCTGCAATTTAACTTTTTTTTAAAAAGAAAACTCCCGTTCTTTAAATTTTTAAACAATAATCAACAATTATTGAATATGTCATCGGCAAATCAACCTATTGAAAAAATAAGATTACATATTCAAGAAAATATTAAAAAAATTGACGCAAGAATTTCTCAACAAGAAAATGCGGTTATAATCGTTGGTGAAACGAGAGAAGGGAAGACTACTTTATTCAACTACTTAATTGGAAATTCCTTGTTTAGTAAAGAAAATTTTGATTGCGGTGGATTTGAAATTTATAGTGGCATTAAAACTTATATCGGTGATCCCTTAAATAATACAAATATTTATAATCGATCTATTTCACAAACTACTTTACCATTAAATCAAGGTGAATTTTGGGATTGTCCTGGTTTTGGAGATTCACGCGGTGATGAACAAAATATTATAAATGCTTATTCAATTTATATGTTAACTAAAAATATCAAAAAATTGAAAGTCTTAATTGTAGTTTCTGAAGCTACAATTATTGAGACAAGCAAAAAGAAGCTTTTAAACATTATTAAGTACTTAGGTGAAATTTTTAAAAATAACATTGATTTGGTTAAGGGATTATGCTTGGTGGTAACGCAAAAAAATAACCTTGATTTGAGAAAAGTGAGAAATATATTTAATAGAATCATTAGAGAACGAAATGGACAAGAAAGCTTTAGTTTATCCCAAAGAAATATACTCAACGTTTTATCCTCTAATAGAAGTCAAATTGCCTTTTTTAACACACCTCGTGAAGATGAATTAATTTCTGATAAAGATAGATTGGAAATCTTAAATTGCATAGAAAAAATTTCTTACGTTGAAAACCTTAAACCTAGCTTTTCCTTAGAGCCGAGCACGGTGCATTTTATTGAAAATCTAATAGGAGTGTTCTATAAAGACGTAGAAAATTTTATGTCGAATAAATTTTATCCTGCATTGCTAAACTACATTGAAAGTCTTATAGATAGTCATGACGACACGGTTGAAAAATTAAGAGAATCTTTAAATGAATTTATTGACGAATTGGAAAAAATTATATCACATGATAAAGAACTACAACAATTTGAAAATAATCTTAATCAAATTCTCTTAATCATTAACCGCTTAAATAGGAATGATCTCAAAGATGAACTTTCAAAAAAAATTTTTCAATTAGATTTTATTAAAGTTGTAAAGACAGAATCAATTACTATCGAAGGGGATACAAATAGATGGTATCACTTTATATCCGAACTTATTGATGTTATAGGTTTATTAAAGTCTAAACCTGAACCTAAAACAAATGAAGGAGGGCAAGTGCTAACTTTCGAAGGCGCAATTATTGGAACCGAGGATATTCAAATTATTTCCAACACAATCAAAGAGATAAATGTGTACAGTTTGAATAGTTTATTTATTGATAAAGATATAATTGCACCAGGAGCATTTCTGACATTCATATCCCCTCAATTTCGTGTTATTGGTAAAAGAACAATTAATTTGAAAGGTGAAATAGGTCCTTCACATAATTTAAGAAAGGCTGACGATGGAATAAAAGAAACAATCAACAACCAAGATGCGTGTGATGAAGAGATTAAAGATGCAAATGATGACATTAATGAGAACATTAATAAAGTCAAAAAAATCGACAGAATTCATAAAGACGAAGAAAGTAATGGTGTTAAAGAAATAATCAGTAAACAAGACTTGTATGATGAAATGAATAAAAAAGGAATAAATTACGAAATTATTAATAAACTAGAAGCAAGTGATGAGATTACTAAAGAAAAAACGAGCGACAAAATTAATATGGAAGAAACAAATAACTCAATTAGAATTAATAAAGATGATAAAAAAAAGGCAAGTCCAGAAATGCATGGAAAAGACGGTTTACCTGGGTTACCTGGTGGAAACGGAGGTCATTTCTATGCCAAAGGAAGAAATTTTATTAATCTCTCTTCGCTAACTATTGATATTAGTGGTGGTGATGGTGGTAAAGGGCAAGATGGTGGTAATGGTGCTGACGGACTGTTAGGTTCTGATTCTGGAAAAAAAATGGTAGAAGATAAAGAAGAATCAGCTTTAGTTTCACGAAAAAAAGTATCGGGAGCACTTAAAGAAATAGTAGAAAAAGGTGTTATAGATACAGCAGAAAAAGGCTTTAAATTTTTTTTCACTTTTAATGAAAAATATAAAGAAGTATATGAAGCCTATGACCCAGGACAAGAAGGTGGAGATGCTGGGCGAGGAGGAGTGGGTGGCAATGCAGGAAGTCATGGTATTGAACATATAGATTTAGATGGTTTACAAGAAAAACCTACTATTTTTAAAGAAAATAATAGAAAAGGCATAGATGGAAAAGACGGATCACCTGGCCGTGGAGGAAAAAATGGACCAAAGTACCATGGAATATATATTAACGAAATATCATATTCTGGATTTAAAGGTTACGAAGAATTTGATTTTGAATCTACTGATAGTACAACAAGAACGGTAGAAATTACAGATTTGACGGAATTTGATACTATATGCATTGATGAAGGAGCAATTACAAGTTCCAAGGAATCAGATACTGAATCCACCGATAGTGCTGCAGGAACAGATTCTAAAATATCAGATACTGATTCTAACAATGATCTAATAGCAAAAGCTTATAGATTATCAACATCTTATATAGGAACAGTAGCAGCTTTAGGATATAATATTGTACCTATTGTAGCTAAAGAACTTGGTAAAAATGCAATAAAAGTTGGTTCACTAACTGGTGCTTCACTTGCTGCAGGAATAGGAGTTGGCCTTGCAATTCCATTAGTAATATCTCCAGTGAGCGCTCATTTCTCAAGCCATTGGGAAGAAAAACCCAATAAATTAGATCATGAAAGCTTTGCATCCGATGGAATATCACCTAGCCCACTAAATGATAAAAGTGAATCCAGCTTAACAAAATATGAAAAAAGCGATATCCCTTCTGATTATTCAAAAAAACTTTCAAAAAAACTTTCAGATTATAACAAATTTTGTAAAGATTTTCAAGAGAATTATAAATTTGTTAAGCAATATTATAAATTTATCAAGAAAATTTAAGAATTAGAAAACTAAAATACGTATATTATTGGAATGTTATTTTTAAAAACTGTCGAAAAATTCTATATTAAAAATTAAACTATTATATAGTCCATTAATTTTTTCTTCAGGTTTTTTTAACTTGTAATAGGTAAACAAGTTTATTATCAATCAAAAAAATACCTTTGGTTGTGACAATTTAAGAAGTGTTGTATTTTGCTTCATGGCCGTTGAAGATAAATTATTAACATTTTAAGTCCATGGTATATTTATGTTGTAGGTGGATTCGGAATTCTATGGTTTTTGAATTAACTTAGTAGATTCTGGATCATTTGAGTGGAATTTGGATCTCAAACTACTTAATTGATGATCCGGATAAGATCGGCATAATTACTATATTGGGACAATAGTAAATTTTGGGGATAAGTACAAT